AGGAATGAGTCGTGATCCAATGATGACGTTGAATCCGTTCTGACCAGTTGATTTTGAGAAGAACGCGTCGTGAAACGAGAGAAACGATGGATGATATGTCGTCTGCGCGGTCGTAACCTCGAGACCCGCGTTGGATGCACGTGCAAAGAACGGATCCCAGGTCTGGTTCGCCTCGGACCACGCTACATTTGGGGAGATGTACATGAACCACAGAGTCGAGTTTGAGACACCGCCGTAGCCGTCCCAGCCATCGTCAGCGAGAGAAGGGAACCCAGCATAGGTCTCGAGCCATACGTCTCGCAAGATAGACGAATTTGCAGCGCTCACAGCGAAGAGGTGACAATGCCATATGTGCTGCCTCCTCCACCGCGAAGTGCCCAGAAGAGGTCGGCATGCTGGTATGCATTGACCATAAGGCGATCGCCGGCCGAGGTGACGACAGTCATTTGAACGACGTTGTCAACGCCTAACGACAAGGATTGGTTATATAGATAAATTTATTGCGAGAATGTGTGGTACACGCACCCAGCCCATAGACGGGTGACAGTGCACTGTGTCCGCCCCCCTGAAACCACCCGCCTGCGGCACCTACAGAGCCACCGTAAGATATCCCACCAAGCAACAAGTGTTCCCTGGCCTCAGCGGCAGTATATGCTTCTGACCATTGTACGCCAGCTCCAAGAGTAAACACTGCAGGGGTCCATTGCATGAGACGCGATGTCTAGATTCCTGATAGCGAACTTGGGAACAGTACCATCGTAAGTTTCAGAAGATGGAGCCCCATCTGGGACAAATACGGCATCATACGAGATGTTCTTCATGTTGTGCGTCCATATCATGAATGCTCCTCGCCCAGCGCTCCGGCCGATGAAATCATGACTATATGCGCACCCCTCAGACCAGCGTCAGTCGGCAGATAGAATAAACGACGCACCCAGTGTTCTTCACGACCATCCTCAAGTTGTGCTCCACCGCAAACCTAACCGCAGCCTGGATATCCTCCGCTGTCCGCGCGTCCACCGCTACGATGGGCACATTGCCTTGCTCGCACGCTCCAGCGGTGGTGGTGTTCGCATAGCAGGTCTCCATGATGATGCCGTTTGCGTGGATGTATGACTCCCAGAATGGGGCCTCCATGCTCCCTGCGAAGCTCGAGCGCCAGGGCCCGTCATCGTATTTGGCTAGGATGCTAGGGCAGTCCTCCGACGAGTCTCCTGTCGCACCGTAGCACCCATGCGCTGTAGGCTTTGGGTGGAGGAGTGGCTACGAGAGGAGAGATTGGAGAGAGGCAAACTCGGTATCATTGGGCCAACAGGGTTGGCCATACACGCAGCGGCACTGGGGTGTAGGCGGAGGAGTGGTGAAGGCTTCGAAGAGACCGGTTACCGCGTCGAGCCCTCCCAAAGGAAAGAATCCGGTGGTGGTCAACGCTAGCGCGGATCAGTTCATTGTCCACTTGGGATTGACTAGACTTAGGAAGGTGGATGAGTAGAGTGCTGCGGAAGGGATGACTGTGGTAGAGGTCCAAGAAAGAGGTCAGCCCGCTAGCATTACTGGACAGCCATATGAGGGAGCGTAGGTGGTGAACTAGAGACCGCTGAGACTGACCCGCACTACTAGGCTATGTCACCCGGAGGCAAGGCGGTGGAGTGATGCCATTAACAGTCCGGGGTGACAGTTGTTCATGGGGAAAAGTCAAAAAGCCCCTATCCTGACACTATAGTTTACGCGACATGGTACATTCCGCGCTTGTGAAGGACGATTTGGTGTCAAGAACATATATTGATGCAGCATTTTAGATACAGAGCCAAGAGTCATGACGCGGTCGTGATCATGCAGAGAGTCAAAGCACAAGAATGAGTAGAGAAGTGAAATGGGAAGCAGGCAGACCAAAATATAAGCAGCAACGTAACAAGAGTGGGAATCGAGGTATCGCAAGAATCAAAAGGGTCGTAAGGTATCGTGGAAGGGAGACGAAGAAAGTCATCAAGCGCAAGAACGTGGCGATCGTGAACAAGAACGTGATAAAAATACGGTGAAGTCGTCAGCCAGTCTAGTCCATCATATCACCTTTAGTACCGTCGAGGGCAATGTCCATATATCTTCCTCCTTCTAATCACACCCGTCGCTCTACGAAGAGACCGCGCTCAGCGCAGCCATCTACGGGATCCGCACAGTGAGCCCTTCAAACCGCGGCACATCCGGGAAATGCAGCGCCTCCGTCTCAGACGCCGACTCGTCCTGGTTCACCGTGCCCGCGCCCGTGACCTCCGTATCGTCCGAGTTCGTCGACGGCGTCGTGTTCATGCTCACCGAGCGTATCGTCGGCAGCCCAAACGACGGCATCGGGCCTAGCGTCGACACGCGCGGGTCGTACTCCTCGAGGCCTTCTCCGCTGCCGCCAAAGTGGTGCAGGCCCAGCGTGGACCCGCCCGGGCCCAGGGCGGACACGGAGGGTGAGATGGCGCGGGGGTTGAAGCTGTTTGAGCCTGAGCTGTTCATTTGGCGGCGGGCGTAGGACGAGCCGGAGCCGGATTGAGACCAGGAGGGCTGGGAGTGGTGTGCATGCGAAAGCTCGGAGCCCTTGCTGCTGGGAGAACGGATATGGGATCGGGCGGAGGGCTGGGACGAGTTGGTGCTAGACTGCTTGCGGCGCCATGATGACGGGGCGGAGCCTGACGAGGGTGGCGAGTAAGTGGGGTTGAGGTGCGAGTGCGAACGCATGGAGTGCAAAGATCCTTGCTCGGAGGTTTGGTAGTCAGGGGGATTGACGACCTGTTATCCAATTAGTCTTATGATGCATGCTTCGAGAATGGATTACGCACCGCTCCAAAGGTGGTCCGCCGTTCGTTGGGCACACCTCCCGCCGCAATCGCCAGCGACCTCCATCCCTCCCTCGCAGCCGGCGGTTCAGCGTCCAAGATATCTATTGTGATACCAGCATCGCCGGCACTTGAAGGCTGATGCCCCGAGTCCGAAGTCCAGGCGGCTGAATTGCGCCATACCATAGGATTAGGCATATCCGGAAGACCAGGTGGCAAGAGCCCACTGCGGGACGCAGCAAACTGAGAGGCTTGCGTAGGTGGCGGCATATCGAGGAGGTCGTCACGGCCGCCACCACCTGAGGGAAGCAGTCCAAGGTCGCCGTCGTCGACAGCATCACGGTTGTATGGCGGCGGCGGAGCATTCAGAGGCAGGTGTGGGACTTCCAAGCGGCCGCTATCTTGATGGCGAAGCGGGCCAGAAGGTGTCCCCGCACGAGAAGCAACAGGTGTACCGAGGCGGGAATGCGCATCGTGATAGACAGTGGTGCCGGACTTGGTGCTAATCGTCGACATCGGTCGCTCTCCTTCAGCAAGCCCACGCCTACTGCCCGCCGAGCGATCTTGACGAGACGGGGAACGGGAGCTGTTGGACCCTGTGAGCCATCGCATGCCCCTCGCACCGAGTGACGAGATCGACGAGATGCTCAGGCGCCAAGCGCTCGGACCTGCACTACTACCGACACCCTGCTCGTCAACAGCCGAGTGCGAACCGAGCTCCTGTACGCGCACACGACGAGCGGTAGAGACCTTCGACTCCTCCAGGTCACTATTCGGGAATGAGACGGTATGCGCTGACTTCTTCTCATCCCAGTCCCGCGAGCCCGACTTCTCCTTGATCCTGAGGGGTGCGACAGCGGGCATGGACCGATTGGAAGATTTTCTCGACGAAACGCGGTCCGGATCGATCGGAGGCGGCGGAAGGAGGGGAGTGAGATGCTCCGGCAGCTGAACGTTGGGCACACCGTACATCCTCGGCGGGCGACTGGCAAGATCGTCCTCTTCACTGAGTTTTAGGAGGTCGCTGGGTGATATGATATGCCTGTCGAACTCGCTGCTTGGGCGTGCGGGAACGCCGCGCTCGTCAACGGGAGGCATGTCGCCGCCGTGGATGCGACCCGGGTTGAGGACCACGCCGTAATCAGTGGCAGCACTCGTGGCCGTCTGGTTGGAATCCTTGGAGTTGTTCGTGCCGCTGTTGCTGTTGCTGTTGGCGTTGCCTACGCTGCCACCGTGGTTCGACTTCTCGTCCGCGTGGGCGCCGTTCGGGTTGACGGGGCGCGTTAGGAACGGGTCGATTTCCTCGCCACTCGAGCGCGGACTGCCCTGGTGCGGGCTCGGCGCATTGGGGCGCGGATCATAAATGCCCTGCTCGGGGTCGCGCGGGTGAACATACTCCCACCCTGTCCAGATAGGCGTGTTGAGCCCGCGCTGCCGGCCGTGTTGGCGCCGATTCCGCCAGCGTGCATAGCATATGAGGAGAGTGAGGAGGATGAGGGCGAAAAATATGCCTCCAACAATGATGCCGACTATGGCGCCCTTGGATAGGATAGAGTGGGCATTGTATGGATAGGCGCTTGAGGAAGAGGTGCTGGTCGACGATGGTGATGTAGTAGATGGTGAAGTGGACGACGTAGATAAGGGAGCAGGAGTGGTGGTAGATGTCAGTGAGGGAGATGAAGACGTAATCGTGGATGTAGGTGCGGGCGAGGTGAGGCCTCCCCATGTCCATATGCCGTCGGTTCCCAATGGTAACTGGATCACATCAAACACTTGTCAGTCAATAGTTCGTTCGAAGAGGAATAGTGGGGGTAATAGCATAACATGGTGGTGAAGAGGAGACGCATGTATGCAGTAACGTGGAGGGGAGAGAAAGTACTCACACTAGGACCATAGTACGTGAGCGGAAGCTCAAACGTTGTGGAGCTCGTGTAGGTTGGGTTTCCGGCAGCATCCGTAAAGACAGTTGTGGAGAGGGTCAACCACGATGGCAAGACCTGCGTTCCTGCCATGGTAGAGATCGAGAAGTGATTTGTTTTGAAGGATTTTCTGATTGGACGAGGGCTAAATGAGAGAATGGGAGACGAGTTCCTGTAAATGAAGTCACAGAAGGGCGCCATTAGTCCGACATTCCTGGCCTTGTGATCCATGATGGATTTCTTACCTGACGAAATCGTAAAGTGGAGTGGTCGTAAGCACCCGTTGGATGGTCGTGATGAGGGAGAGGAAGAGGGGAAAGTCGGATGGGTAGGAGGGAGGGCAGGAAGCGCGTAAGGATGGGAAACGCCGCTACAACGCCTGCAGTTCGAATGTCACGTGTGTGAACGTCAAATCGGAGCTCGGCCTCGGTTCCCCGGCTCGACGTCGACGTAAACTTGAACGTGGCCGTTATCGCCGGTGTCGACCGTGTCCTTGCACTGTACTGAGGGCAACACCTGTGTCGTTTTCCAGCGTCGCTGCAGTCGCCTCCCGTCGCAAGTTGCCGGCACCTATCATGTCTCCCTTGTGATACCATGATCGCCCCCACGACCGGCGACGATAGCGCTGCTAGTCCCCGGCACTAGGCCCGAACAAGAAACTTCTCATCTTTCCATCACGAACATGTCTCGGGTTTGACAATCGGAAGTTGTGTTCTTCCCTGTTTTATGTACCCTCCTCTACAGCAATGACGAGGGCAGATATGCGCAGGCGAACGCTTTCGAGAAGCCTACCAGTCAGTATCATGACGTTCACTTGCAAAACCTGGAGTCCCGATGCACCCCTTGTGCATCCAACCGGTACCGCCGTACATCCTTAATCTGAAGAGTTCTCGAGCTCGTTATTATCGTCGTTCTCTTCCAGGCATCCTCGGCGAGTCATCCTTGTATCTGTCTCGCGTCCACCCATTTGCAAAGATTCATTTAACTTTCGGCTGTGCTAAGTTTGAGTCATATCCCCATACCCAGTGACACTCTCTGTCGCATGCCATTGTTATTTGTTAGGCTACCCACTCACGCCTTAGTCGCACCTCACTGGCACTGACGGTGGGGCTTGTGTCCTCGACATTCAGACTATCAGAAACCATATTATCAGACTGACTATCGCTCACTGTCCATCCTTAGTATGACCAGGTCCTCCATTTATTGCCGTCAGGCTGAGCCCTCATGAAACTCCAGAGCTATCATATCGTACGGTGGCCCGAGATAACTCGGGCAGTGCCCGCGAATGACGTTCTTAGCCCCTTTCTCAGTGCTGTGAATCTCATCCCAACATGCGTTAGTGTCGCTGTTGCACTGATTTGCCTCGCAGATCAACCTATTTTCTAGCGTTGTCTATTATTACGCTGTATCGCACTAATGAACCTACCCATAGCTGACTTGCAGATCAGCACCTGATAGCAAACGTGGAGAAAGCGAGGCATCGGTGGCAGTGCCAATTCCGGTGCCAGGATTCGGGCTGTGCGATCTTTGCCTTTGCTGCTCCCGTCACTGAGCGACACTGCGGCCGCAGAAGGCGCTCGAATGTTGCAGGCTGTTCGCGGGCCTTCGGACTGGAAGTTGGCTCGTCTACGTGGGCTGGGGTAGACGCCCATCCGTGTAGTGGGTGCCTTGCTGCGCGTTATATAGTGCACCGAAGACTTGATGACCTGACACTTTTCACATCTCAGCCCCTTTCACCCCAGATTACCCATGTCACACTCAGTTGGTCCAAACGATCACATCGGCGAGGGCGATTCGACTATCGTTCTTGATATCCTACCAGCTGAGCTCGCGGAAGATGCATTCGAGAAGATGAGACAGGAGGTGCAGTGGAATACAATGTACCACCGAGGTTCGTCTTCGCAGTCTTTCACGCTGCCATGAAGTCACCAACGGCAACCGTACCTCAAATCAGGTGGTGAGGTCCCAAGACTCGTAGCGGTCGAAGGTGAAGTAGCAGAAGACGGAAGGTACATCCCTCCTCGTCACCTCTTCACCACACTAGAAGCTCACCACACGCATGGACGTTGCGGCCCAGCTTCCCCATATACCGCCACCCCGCCGACGAGTCCCCCGTGCTGCTCCCGTTCTCTCCGACAGTGTCCAAGATCCGCGAGCACGTCCAGCGCGTGCTCAACCACCCCGTGAATCACGTGCTGATCCAGCACTACCGCAGCGGTGCGGACTACATTTCGGAGCACTCGGACAAGACGATCGACGTTGTGCGCGGATCCAAGATCGTGAATGTGAGCCTCGGCGCGCAGCGCACGATGACGCTCCGCACGAAGCGCGACCGCGACGCGGACACCGGGCGCGACGCGGGCACGCCAAGGCTATCGCAGAAGGTGTCGCTGCCGCACAACTCGATGTTCGTGATGGGCCTGGAGACGAACGCGAAGTGGCTGCATGGGATCAACCATGATAAGCGCCCGCTGCAGTACAAGCCAGCTGCGGAGCAGTTTAATGGCGGGGAGAGGATAAGTCTGACGTTCCGACGGATTGGGACGTTCCTGACGAAGGGCGAGACGCGTATTTTTGGCCAGGGTGCGAAGGCGAAGATGGCGGCCGACGCGCAGCCTGTGGTGAATGGGACGGATGAAGCTGCGAAGCTGCTGGATGCGTTCGGGAGGGAGAACCAGACGAGCGACTTCGATTGGGCGGAGACGTACGGGGAGGGCTTCGATGTGTTGCACTTTACACCAAGGAAGGACTAATGTATGTATAAATGGAAGTTCATCTTTGTGTTTTTTTGCTTCTGGGCGTGATGGATCGTGAAGTAAGTCGACGTCGAAGACTTCCGGGAGAACAAATGTCACACTGGAGCATTGTCATTCCGCTTGACCGCGATCCTCCGAGCTCCTCCGAGATAACTGTATTGTCGAAAGTCGACCGATGCAACAAAAGTACAAAAGGGCGCTCGGTTTGGGCGCCTAGCCTGTGAAAACATTTGTTGTGTAGATATGCAACGGCCCTTGTAATTCCGTTCGAGCGCGGGCCCTGAGATACTAGAATGTATTTGTTTTGAGGGCATCGTACCTAGCAACGACGAGCAGACGACGAGGAGAGCGACGCAAAACACCTTGTCTCTTACCACCACAACCGTTCTTTTGTCCTCTACAGCGCGGGCAGCTGCGCGTGTCCACTCTTTATCCACATTCGTTTGTTTGTTTCGTCATCGTCTGATGATCTGGGCGGAACTAAATAACACCGCCACCTCATCTACGCGGAGGGTAAGCGGAACCAATCTTATTTATTTCCGTTTCGGGGGGCGTCAGGGGGTTGGGTATTTTTTGACGGGGGACATCGCGTGTCCCGTTGAGCGCGCGTTTCCCATCTTTCTCTGCTGGCCCCTCGCACGAAAAGAGCATAACACGAGGCTGGAGCAATCACAAAACACGAGGATCCACCGACTATTACCTCCTGGGTCCTACCTCATCCTCCCCACCTCCCCTTATCGTACCGACTCCCCACCCAGCCCCCTAGCGGTCACTTGCACCGGCATCGGGCTCAGTCTAATTCGCTTTAAAATTCCCCTCACAAACATCGCCTTCCTGCTTTCCGCTTCTCCTGCTCCATCTGCGACACCCAGCTGCTTCTACTTGACGCGCTTTCTTCATATTCACGTCTTTCTTTTCTCTTCTACATCTTGCATGCCCACCGCATATATTCTAACGAATGTCACAACAGCATAGTACCCCAGCTACGCCTCTGCCCCCCTCGCGCGGCGGCGAATCTCCCATCGGCCGGCCATCCTTCTCTCCTCAGCCCCGTCCATCCGATGGCTCAGAAGGCTACCCGTCGTGGCTTCCCAAACGTCCACCTCCGCCAGCACCTGCGTCCACCCTCCACTCGGTCGCCCATGGTATGTACGACTCTCCTGAGCCGGAGCCGACATATACTATAGGCCGAAAACCGACCCCACGATCGGTCCGCATGGTCAACCTTCCCACCGATACTGGTCTGCACGGCGATCGACGCGAGCCCACTGACCAGACCCGCGTCCCGAGCAACCCGCGTCACTCTCGCGTCTGGTCCCGCATCACCTCCGCCGGCCGCTCCCCCACCCTCGCGTCCGCGCTGCACGCTCAAGAACGCCTGCCGCGCCCCCGCCTCCGCGCCGTCGGCCTTCATCCGGAGCTCGTTCGCAATCCGTCTATTCTTGCGCACATATATTTTTATTTGCTTCCACTCTTCACCTTCTACCACGTTCCCCTGCAGACCTTCTTCGACTTCAATGCTGTATTTATATTACTAGAGTGAGTTCACTTCTTTCATTTCATCACATGGTCCCTGGCGCTTATGGGCTCTGATCCGTGTTTCAGGGTGGCCAAGTACCCCAATCCTTCCGCTCCCGGCGTCCCTGGCTCAGGCAAGAACTGGGCACTCGGTGCTGCTGCCTATATCGCAAGCTGGGCTGTATGGATCTTCATTGTTACGATTATGTACGAAGTCATATACTCCTTCTACCGTAGATGGCGCGTCAGTAAGTGCTGATCATTAGCGTTCCTGACACTACCGGGAGCTAATCTGCACCTCAGAGCGTCCCCTTCTCGTGCCGCTGTACTTATCGACATCCGCTTTCAACCTGGCTTCGATGACATCCTACAGCCACTTCAGCCTCATGCAGCACATCCGCTGGTCTGCCTTTTTCGGTGAAAGTGGCAGCATTCGGGACGGTCTCGCGGAGACTTTTTGGTGGTACTCCCAGAACCTTCCCACCGTCGCACTCCTCCTGCCCCGGGCGGGCCTCTGCCTCGCGCTCTTGTTCGCATTCTCGTTTCCCAACCCAGAGTACGTCAGCCTGCTCGATGCGGGCGCGTCAAACCGCGACGATACGTACTTCCGTTCGTCAGATGGCACGTTGACGGATTACTCGCGCGGCGTTTTGATCGCTAATGCTGCCTGGGCGGCATGGCGTATTCTGCTATTGATCTTGAGCTGGTGACTACATCTCGTTCGTTCGTCTGCTTCTGAACTAATCGATGGACAATGATAGGTTCGGTCTGTGGGTCGTCAGTGGACACGGTTGCGCAGGGCTCTGTGGGCCCCGTAACCGCTGGGAGGAGGAAGATGCGGAGAAGACCGTTTCGATATATGGTGATAACTACTCATTCACCAACGCGTTCGATGCACTCCCTTGGGACTGGCGCGCGGGTACTCGTTTGCGCGTCCAGCACGCGTACGAGTTTTGCCTCACCACCAAGCCGGGTCAGCGATGGAGTTCGGCTAAGAAGGAGGAGCCCGACATGCGCGAGCTGTTGGGTGTCGAGACCACCCCGGCCTTCGACACTGATCAGATTATGGCCGCCGTTTACCCTCAGCAGTCACATCCGCGTCGGCCTACTCTCAGTGAAGACTTGTTCCAGCGCCCACCAAAGGCCGAAGGCATACCGGCGACTCCATCGCCTGACATTGTTCCGCCGAAGTTGGCTAAACGGAGGTCGAGGGATCGGGAGGAGATCCTGTCGGCAGTGTACCCCTTCACTGCCCATGGCGCTCAGATCTCATCAAAGGATGGGATACCGTTCCCGCCATCTCCATCGTCTCGCAAGGAGAAGCAGTCGATCAAGTCTCCGTCGCCCAGGAAGTCCCATTCTATTTCGGAGTTCGGAGAAATCTCGGGCCTAGAGGCCGAGGAAGAGGGTGACATTGTCGACGAGGAAGCATTTGCGAGCAGCGATGCCCATCCCCGTACCTCTGGCTCTTTGTCGAGTCTCGGCCACCCCATCGCATCGCGTTATCCTTTCCAGTTCCGCTGGCCAAATCGTGGTGGTACCTCATCTTCGTCCTCTCGGGGCGGTCACACCCACACGCATAGCACCGATAACGCGTTCAGCACGGTGTCCTCGAACTCACGCTCAGCGCCATCGCGTGCAACGCAGAGCACCGGGAATGCCGAGACATCGTCCAATGGCCCATCACATGGGCACAGCACGTCGATGTCGTCGTCGAGCTACGGAAACCCCATTCCGATGCCGCCTCGGCATCCGACGGCAGGACGCGGGCGGGCAAGGGCGGGCACTGTCCCTACTACGTCTCCCATGTCTTCTTCGTCCGCTGTAGTCTACACCGGCACTGTGCTTCACGGCCGCATTCGCACCGATAGCGACCCTACGGACGACAGCCATGGTCCCTACGGGCCGTACGGCTCCTATTCGGACGCCGAAGAGGAAGAGGAGGGAATAGGCGAAGACGAGATGGAGATGATGGAGCAGCCAATCCCTGAAGGACCTCAGGAAGCTGCTGAGGGCGAAGACAGTGTGGGCCTCTTGCGCGTCAACTCGCGCAGCCCGCGTGGCTCGCTCGTGAGCAGCGGCCGGAGCCGTCGTCGCCGTGCTCGCACCAGTTCGATGTCCAACTCTGGGTCTGGTTCTGGTTCCAACTCGAAGTCGGGATCGGGATCCAATTCACGGACGAGCTCGCATTCCAGGCCCTCTCTCCCTCCACGGTCACGCGCGGGCTCCGCAGTCCGCTCGAGGACGCAGTCGCTCATCCAGAGCCTCGGCGCGGCCTCGCGGTCTTCTGTAGATGTCGTGCAGGCGATTCGGGAACGGGCACGGACCAATTCTTCGAGGGCACGGCTAGAAGACGACTACGTCTACTCGTCGGACGCGCCGACGCGCGGCACGCACTCGCGGAGTGGCTCCGATGCGCTCTCGAGCGGGCAGGAGAACTACACGTTTGGCAGACCGATGCTCCCCGAGCTCCGGGGCCCGTATCCCGAGCGGAGGCTGCGGGAGGTGAAGAGCGATCTATCGGGCAGTGTCGCCGAGTCCAGAGGGACGCGGAGACACACGGATAGCCTCGTGTCGGAGGCGCCGTCGCAGGCCACGCAGATTTCACAGGCAGCCACTGAGCACCCGCCGCCGCGTCCGCCGCGCTCACCAAAGCGACTCAGCGCGGGTGCAGGTGCCATCCCGATTCCCGGTAAGGCGGACAGCGCGGGCAGCAGCAAGGTGGACGTGAGCACGGCGCCTGCGTCGTTCGTCACCGGGTCTGCCACTATCGCTGGCAGCTCTGATACGGGCGAGCATGCTGCTCACCCGGAGCACTGGGCAGACACTAGCCACATGATACATAGAGATCATCATGGACCTGGCCCGGTGTGATCGCCTGACTCTTTCTACTTTACATTGTTTGCTTTTTCTTCTCTTGGACGCTACGAACCGATACGACACATGTATCTATCGTCGTCGAGCCGCCGCCGTTTTTGCTGGGCTGGTTGGGTGGTTCTGACGACTATTGTTGACTTATGAGTATACTTGCATCATTGCTTTCGCGCTAAAACTTCTGCATGAACACTGAGTTATTTGTTGCATATTGTTCTCACTCTTGGTTCGTCATGTCGCTTGTCTCACGTTCTCCCTTCCCGTTCCGAGTCACTTGCCTCCCTCTTCGCCCTATCACGAAGCATGTTGTCTACCGTAATTTCGTCCTGGCCGACTTTCGGTTTGGATGTAACGTACATACGTATATTCTGTAGTGTGAATATAAGTTCCCTTCATGTTGAAATTCTTCGCGTGGCGCCCCTACGGAACAGTGAGGCGAGAGCTGGGTGAAAACAGAAAATGGATGAGGCAAAGTCGGTTTTTGGGCGGAAATCGGTTACGTAATCGGGGTCTATTCAGGCGCGCGTCAGGTTGAAGTCTTCTCTCTTTGCCTACCAGCGCCTTTTGACCTCACATCTATCCACTACCCGTACGAAAACACACGATGGCCGACCACGAGCAGCAGCCAGCTACACAGGAGGAGGTTAAGACCGAGCAGGATAACTCCCCGATCAATGTCAAGGTGTGCCACTCGCTTCCAAGCCCCTTGTCGCTTGCTTCCCCCCTAGTACCCGCGAGACCCTTGACTCGGATAAGCACGCGTAGGACGCTCGGTGCTGACGAGTCGTGATTACACAGGTCGTGAGCTCGGTGGGCGAGGAGGTCTTCTTCAAAATCAAGCGCAACACGAAGCTGAGCAAGCTGCAAGGCGCGTATGCCACTAAAGTAGGGAAAGACGTGAACAGCATCCGGTGCGTCCTTCAGCCCATCTTTTTCTGTTTACGTTGCCCTAGCTCTCCTACCTCTGAGCGTTTATTGTGCACCCCAACTTCTCTCTGTTGACATGGCCTACATGTCCGGACAGTACTGACCTGCTGCATAGGTTCTTGTACGACGGATCCAGAATAAACGACGACGATACACCATCCTCGCTTGAGATGGAGGACAATGGTACGTTTCTCACCAGCTTCCTCCGTCTATGCACTATATATGCTGACCACTTTGACCCGCAGACACGATCGATGTTATGGTGGAGCGTACGTCCCATTCATTGCACACGTATCCTCGTATCACTGATGTCTTTCTTCGCCCGTAGAGGTTGGCGGCGCATGAAGCACGAATCGTTCGAACCTCTAGTCTTTTTCTTGCATAATCGTACCCCATACTCTGCCTACTCTGCCTGTATTTCCGCTTTCGCTTTGGCAAGCCAGCTTTCTTGACCGTATCACAGCTAATTGCTCAATGAGCCTTTCGCTTGCGTGCACGCTCGGTCTACTGCCACCGTTAGCGAAAAGACCATCAGAAGACCGAGCTCCAAATTACTGATCGGCGACCTTGGCAGCTATGTTTAGCGCGCATATAGTCATGTGCTCCGAAGTTCTGACTCTCATGGTCCATATCATATGGGGCTAACCTCTAACAGATGTATGCTGGGCCATAGCATCTCGTCAAATGCTCCATATCCTACCCTTTCTGAGCGCTAGTGACTTACAACTAGAAGTCCTCTGAACTCTCGAAAGGAACGCACGACATCAAGAACCTATCTGGGCAGCTGTCCCTGATATCTATCTACGGTTAAGGAGGTCAAGATTTTCTTCACGACTTCGTTTATGGACCTTCTTACGCTTTCTGAAGTTCATCGTCGAGTGCCAGGGCTGATTTGTTCCAATACACACTCTTTTGTTATGGCCAGCTTTTCGGTGCCTGACTTGCGTTTTTGTCCGCAGCTGACGATTGTGGGGGTGGACAACTGACACACGGTCCACAAAGTGATGAGGTGAAATGTTGCGTCTTTGCGTGATCAATCGACTCATATCCGTGCTGTTATATCTTGCTTTCCTATCAAACCGCCTTCTCTGCTCACGCTCTTTCCTGCTTACCATTCGCTTGTCAACTACAGATGGCGGCGCACCTTGGGTACAGTGGGAAATATGATGATACTAGTCGTCAACAAGGATCGTCTTCTGCTGCTATCGCTGCAGATCCGAGGGTACTGTTTGGCTGATTGGCTCCGCGAAGCTGATCTGGCAGCTGATGTCGCTGTGAACACGGACGGCGAAGAAGTCGCCCTAGTCGGAAGGCTAACAGGTCTTGCCCCTCTCGGTTTAACTTCATACGATTACAGCTGCTGATTTTTTAGTTGTCGAGCGACCAAGTACTATGTGTTGGCGCGGAGGCGACGCTACGCCGGGCTTCCAAAAGGGGGCGCCTGTGACTTGTGGAAAGTCAAGGTCGTTCGTTTCGGTTCCGACGAGTCTCAGGCCTTGTACCTATCCCCAACCGTGTTTTCCATACCACTGGCAAGGTCTGTAATCCATGTGGGTTTCAGTAAGCCTTTCTATATTCAAATACTTCTCGTGTGGAGACATGCTCAGGCTTCAGTTACGCAGCTGTCTTCGACACTGCAGCACCTCGTCATCACTCCATGCTGCCCGCTTGACATTTTTGATTGTTGCTCGTAGCAGTCGGAGCGGTTTCCTACTCGCTTGCGAGAAAGGGCCCAATTCATCCAGTCGGTAGCGCTAAGCGGAAGTGAAGAAGTACCTCAGAAACGCTGGTGAAGTAAGAAGATACTACCTAGGTCCAGTGAAAGCCAGTGAGGCGTCAGGAGCCGTCTCAATGGGTGGGCACACAGTAGCTGAGCTTATAACGTTCGGACTCAGAGATTCGCATGCTAAGTGATGATCCACATTACTGGGATGTGTCGTCAACTATCAATGCTACTCCAACGTCGCGGGACTAGAGCCACCGCAAGGGCCGCAGCGCAAAGCCTTCTCGACATCTTATCCGTCATCCCATGAACGTCGAGGAAGTTTGCCACAGCATATCCGGCGGGATGAGCAGACTCTTCGACTCCTACTCAACTGAGTGCTCATCTCGATCACGATTCTTCGGCATATTCAAACCCTTCCGAGCTTCGACAGGTATGCATTTACGAACATAAGTAGCCAGAGACTCGTCAACGTCGTCAAGTCATGCAGTAATTTACTATCATATTGTACGGCAAACGTGGGTCGAACTCCGTCATCTAAGGAACCTTGTAAGTGGTTGTCCGAGACTGTTGTGCATACGGGACGTGAAGACGTACCTCTAAGACTTACTGCATCTGTTCGGCGCAACATCTACTTGCAAACCACACCATAGCTCGTCACGCCCGACGGCAGCTTCTGGCATGTTCCGTCGTACTTGATACTCCCAGGGCTGCTGCCCAGCGGGGTTGTGCAGCCATCCTGTGGGTCATTGACGAAGTTGATCGTGCAAGTGCCGTTGCTGGTGTCGAGGATCTTGACCGCGGTGAAGCTGTACTCGAGGGGAGGCTCGCAAACGTTGCCAGACCCGGTCTGGTTCAACGGGGTGCCAAGGTCCTGGCAGTCAAGCTCCTGGAAGATCTGGAACGACCAGGTATTGGCGGCGATGGCGACGCTGGCGCTGGCCAGGGCGACTGCGACGGCAAAGGTGGACTTCATGGTGGATAGGGTGGGTAACAACTGGGGATTGGCTGGGAAGAGTGACGCTTCTCGAGGGAGGTTCTAGTGGTGTAAACCACGTCGAAGGCTTACCGCGATATATATACGAAGAATTCCAGTTCGCTGGAGTCTTGCTGGCATCATTGCGCTCGGATACCTGTGCATCTGGTACGTGAGCTTGGCGCATCAGCGCGCCTCGCGGTCATGGCTCTGTTTACCCCGCAACGTCAGAGACAGCTCCGAGATAGCTTTGACGTCCCCATCATATCTCCGGAATCCCATTTGGTAGTGGCTGCATCGGTATTCAGTCAACTCAATTTCATATGCACCAAAAACGTACTCGGGATTGCTGGCGGCGTTCGCCGTTGTGTGGACTATATCGAGCTTATATCCGTGACATTAATGCTACAAAAGAGAAAAATTAGAGAGTGAAGGAGATAAAATTAAGGCATACGCTGTGGAGGATATGCTTGCACAAATACCAGCAGCGGCAGCAAAAAGCACACTCAGATCCTTAGAATATCGTAAAACACAGCGGCCAAGACCTGCGTTAAATAAGAGAACCCCGTTAGGTATAGGTGCTAGTCGAGACTTTGAGCTGCGTTGAACTTGTCAGCACAATGGCATGATAGCCCAGGGTATAAAGAGCACTTGAATGTGTGGTTGGAGATCCAAGCCGCCGCGTCTCACATCGACGTAAAACCTTACCACTCAACTGTAAAGGTTCTAAAATGCGTTTTACCCTCGCCTCCATCACCATCCTGACCTTCTCTTGTGCTGTCATAGCTGCCGACTCATGGTCCTTCAGAATTTACCAGAGCCAGGACTGCAGTGACCACCCCCTGACCCAGAACAGCACGGGCAACACTTGCGGGGCGTAGCCCGGGTGGGCATCCAATGGCGTCAAGGTCACAGGCCTGGCCGACAGCTGCGTCATCAACTTCTCCAGTGATGCCGTCAACTGCAGTAACGTCCTCTTCAGCGTCCCTGCCGATATCCCAGCGGATGGCGGGTGCTACCTGCTCCCGGATTTCACGCGTACGTACGGCGTCGTTTGCAAGAACCGAAGACTCAGATTGGACAGGAATGTGGATGTGGACGCGTCGAGGAAGGAGGTGGAGAGGGAGAGAGAGAGAAGGATAGGGCGATTCCTCTAGGGCGAGAGGGGTCTGAAGAATAGTATCACTGCTGGATCGATGTCGCATTGCGAACAATTATTAGTAACACCCGAACCTACTCCGCTCCCGTAACGTCCTCCCCGAGGAAGCAGAGAAATGTCCATACTCGAGCTCGCCCTTAGAATGATATATGCCTGGGAAAAGAAGAGGGTATGGTAAGGGTTAGAAAGCGGTGAAGGGATGAAAGTTAAGTATCGATGAAAATAAGTCGGAGGGTGGGGTGCATCTGCTCACAAATGTAGCTTGAGACGAAGTGCGACTGTTCGTGCTGTTAACTAGTAGGGCGAGGGCTCAAAAGCTCACCACTGAGTCATTGGACGTTTAGATAGCTGTGATTCAGGCGCCAGTAGTTGACTGTGTGACTCCAGAACACACGCGCAAGACATGCAACAGCCTAACCAGAGTCTTGGATGAATGGGGAAGGCAACGGCAACAGCGACACGTTCCACTGAGTTTCCCGGTCCAACAGTGGCACGCAGCGCCAGTTACCGCCACCCAACGAGGCACGAGTCAAGGATGTAACGTCGAAATGACGCCGCATACAGCGGTAGCAAGCACTGTAGGCGCTGAAAAAGGGCTAATGACGGTATGTACCTTGGTGATTCCTTCAAACAGGAGCACAGCGAGCAGGTACAGCAGGACATGATGCGCAGACTCACCACAAGTCAGGCGACGATTGTATCAGAGGGACTTCAAGTTGCAAGTGGCTAGTTCTGGTCAGCACTGTATGAGCACGGCGCGCTTTGCTATTGTTTGCATGGGGAGGGATCGTAATATTTAAAGGCAGCTGGACCAAAGCCGGACTGAGCTCAAGCGCGCACACGGCGATTGTCAGCGACGGTCACAACGCATCGAGGATTGTTAATTAGGAGGGTATCGGAAAAAAAGATCAGGGCAAAGGCCAGACGGCTAAAGAAAAAGAAAAGCTTCTCAGAAAGGATGGATACAGCACAACGACGCGCAGTGATAAGATAATTAATAGTACGGATACACAACGTTTTACTTGCTGCGCACCTCTGCCTCGGCACGTCAGGTTGTATGAACAGTGAAGGGAAGAGATGCATATGTAATGATATGTAACACTCGGCAAGATTGCCACCACGTCCCGAATGCGAACAGAAGAAAAATATATAGGGAAATGAGGAGACCGTTCCTAGACCCACTGGCTCGCGTATATGCACTATGATGAGGCGGCGTGGATGAGCTGTGACGAGTCCGACCGATCAAGCGAGCGTCTTCGGGAGACGGGACCGCCATTGCACACGTTGATGGAACTCTCGGTCCGTCTCAGAGATCGTTTTTGGTTTGAAGGCCGCGAGGGAGAGGGCGGGGAGGAAATGCAGGCATGGGTGGGCGTGTGGGTGTTCTGGGAGGAGGAGGCGTGAGGATAGTCGGAGGGCTTGCCCGCGGGGTATTGCTTCGGCGGCAGCCCGTTGACGAACCCAAGTGGCGAACGATGCTCCTCCGGAATCGAGGGCATCATGGAGGGGGTCCGAGCACGTTCGAACTGCGAAGCAGGCGATGAAGCTGGGGGTGGAGTGGTAGAACGGCCACAAGGGCTAGTAGACCCGTTTTCTAGTCTCCGTCTCTTTGGCGCCGTCTCTGCGTTCTCTCCCGCATTTGACTCTTCTGCTTCCCGTTTCTTCTCCTGCGCACGAGCGTTGTAGGCGGGTCGTGGATTGTGCCGAGTTAGACGCATGGTCTGGGGGCCGAGCTGGTCCCGATTGATCTCCAAAAAGCGTTGCCGTGCCGTAAGTGCGAGCGTCTCTGCAGTCGGCTGGGGAATGTTATATGCTATCCAGGGATAATGCGGACGGCTGTCGTGCGCTTCGAGCGCCTGGTAGTCTTGGGGTAACCATCGTTGCTTGTCAGCCTCGGGGACCCAATGAAGGTCGAGTAGGCGGCGAACATTCTTGCCCGAGATGGAAGTCCGACTGGCGTTTGAGTTGTGCTTGAGCGTGTCTTCGTAAATGTTCCACGCAATCAGGGGGTCAAACACCTCGGGAGCGCGTGTTTCATCTGGCGCAGGATCATACGCGTAGTCGCGGATTTTGATGCCACGTGACTGAATATCTTCATGGATCTCGCTCGTCGAGAGCTCGTAAAAAACGATCTCGGTAGGAGCTGGAGAGGGTGCAGATGCTCGCGATATCTGTTGGCGGTAGGTTTAGTCACAAAGGGGGTGAAGGAAGACGCGGCGATCACGTACAGAAGGTGAGGTTTCGGCCGGGCTCTCAGCGGCTGCGGGCGCGGGCGTAACGGGAGTAGGCATTGCCATCGGGACGTCCGCGTCAAAGGAGAGGTCATCATTCGAGTTTGGCTGTTGACGGATGTCTTCCATGGTGGATCCGTTGGAGGTATCGATGCGTTGGCTGGGGATGGTGACTGGGTCGGTGTGAGAGTCTTCGCAGTTGATATGCAGCTTGCCTGTGACCGTGGATTTGAGACTGTAGGGGAAGTGAAAGTTGAAGAAGCGTTGCATAGGAGAGGTCGGAAGGCGAGGACGAGAGAGGTGGTGGTTAAATAGGGGTGGGGAATGGAGGCGAGTATGGGCTGAGACCGACCTGCTGGGTGTTGTTTATACGCTATTGTCTCGACAAAGGATAGCCAAATAGAGCAATGGATGCAACTACCCTGATCGAGTCGCGATTGTGATCCGACGCTTTGTCTTGTGACGAGAAAATGCGATGCTCCTGGTATGGACGAGGGCAAGGCAACGTTGTCGTCGTCGAGGACAAGGAGAGGAGGAAGAGACTCGGAGGAGAGGGCGTTGAGATGGAGCGGGGTTACTTAGCAGCAAGAAAAGAACCGGCGAGTCAGGCCGAACTTCCGGCAGCCGCTCGCCGCTTTATGGCGCTGCCGAAAATCCCCGTTCAGGCAACCCCGTCGGAGTGTGGCATCACCGCTTGCCTTTCTCAGCCTCTCCGACCACCACACGCCGGACAAAGCAACGCCCATGGCGGAGTCACGACTGCTCACCGACAAGCACGTACAGTACATTCAAACCCTTGGAAATGTGAGCGTGGTCTTTGAAAGCACACCATCCCGCTTTTTTCACACCTGCGCATAGAGCAAAGATGACTTGTCCTATCATATGACTGCCCACCTCCGCATGAACGCCATCTACTGGGGCCTCACTGCTCTCTGCACCATGGGTCACAAGGACGCACTCGACAGAGTAGAGATGATCAACTATGTCATGAGCTGCTGGGATGACGAAGCAGGTAAGCCCGCCTTCTCGCCATACCGGACGCGAATCGTGATCATGAAACCGTTCAGCTGATAGGGGCCTTTGGTGCGCACCCGGACCACGATGCCCACATCCTCTCGACGCTCAGTGCCATCCAGATCCTGGTCACTCACGAGGCACTTGACCGGGTCGATGTCAATCGGGTCACGAAATGTGAGCACACAGTCTTCATTACCTTGGTCCAACGCATTGACCATGGCGACTGCGTCAGTCATCCTGTCCTTGCAACAGCCCTCAGGCGTGTTCGCTGGTGATACGTGGGGCGAGGTCGACACACGTTTTTCGTACATCGCTGTGAACGCGCTGTCTCTTCTTGGTCGTCTTTCCGAGTTGGACGTCGAGAAAACCGTTTCCTACATCCGCCAGTGCCGTAATTATGATGGTGGCTTTGGGAATACGGCTGGAGCAGAAAGTCATTCTGGACAAGGTAAGTTCTCATGTATGCGCGGTATTGCCTTCTTCGTTCGTGACTCATGGAGCGCGTCTAGTCTTCGTATGTGTAGCTGCCCTTGCTATCCTGGATAGGTTAGATGAGATCGATCAGCCGTCCCTCTGCTGGTGGCTATCCGAGCGGCAGCTTCCCAACGGAGGCTTAAATGGTCGTCCCGAAAAACTCGAGGATGTACGTCTAGCCCTGCCGCTGCAGTCGCATTGTTGATGATAATCGTGCGCAGGTTTGCTATAGCTTTTGGGTGTTATCCGCCCTATCGACTCTCGGAAAGCTTTCATGGATCGACGCTGAGAAGTTAACGGAGTTCATTCTCTCCGCTCAGGTGCGTACCGGAATTACTCCACTATCTCAACGCTGACGATACATCACATTAGGATACGGAAAGGGGCGGTATAGCTGATCGACCTGGAGACGAGTCCGACGTGTTCCACACCCATTTCGGTATCGCCGGTACGGGCCAAGCCAAGTCTTTATAGATCTTACATTCTGATCGATAACTCTAGGTCTGTCCCTGCTCGGGTATCCTGGATTGGTCGACCTCGATCCCGTATATTGCATGCCTGCCCCCATAATCGAGAGGCTGGGCCTACGTAAAGGTTGGAAGGCGCTTCCGCGAAGATCCCTCTAAAGGTAACAACACCTGTAGTAATTTATAAAGTACAACGTAAATGAACGCTCCAACCCGTGACATGATATCAATGGACAGCTGTTTAACGCCTAGAGGTAATGACTACTGTGCATATCGTGAAGAAACAATAGCGGTGTCTGAGAGCGATGATGGTACTTCCGACGGCTCATAGCTATCATCGTACTCAGACGCTGGCGGGTTGATTTGCCCAGGTAGTCCTGCCTCTTTCCACGCGGCGTATCCACCAATGATATCCGTCGCGTTCAACAGCCCAAGGTCTTGTAGAGATGCTGCGGCGAGCGACGACGTGTAACCCTCCTGGCAATAGATGATAACCTTGAGGTCGTACCGATCCGCGATCGCGAGCCGTGCCTCGCACCGAGGGTCGAACCTCCACTCGAGCACGTTACGCTCGATGATGAGTGACCCATGTATCCCTCCCTCCCTTTCACGCTGCGCGGCCGGGCGGATGTCGACGAGGAAAACGGGCATGGGGAACGTGGGGTCGTGCAGTTCGTCGTATGCCTGCTGGGGCGTGACACGCTGCAGCCGTGCGCGAGCGTCGCTCAGGATTTGGTCGATCGAGCGCGATCCGGGAGGGGGTGCAAGCGGGGTGATGGGTGCACGGACGGATTTGGCGACAACGTCCCACAGGGCGGTTTCGTCGTATGAGGAGGCGCCCATGTCCCGCACGAGCGCGACCCAGAGGGTGCCCCGGTTGATGGGGACGCTCTCGACACGTCCAAGGAACTTGGATGAGGCGAGAAGGACGGCGCGTTGGACGTGGTCTTCGTCGCTCCCACTGATAACCAAGGAATTGACTGGTGGCTGCCCGTGTCCTCCTCCGGGTGTTGTTGTTGCACCTGTGGTAGCAAGCGCGAAGAGATAAGGGGTACCTGCGAGTCGAACATCGATGTGGTCTGCGACGAGCTGGAGGAAGAGGTCGTCTTCTCGCTTGGAGAAGGCGAAATAGACGGCCGCCTTGACACCATCGATGGTGCGTGCGCGGCTGATTGCCCGGTTGGCGATACCATAGGCGACCTCGTTCCGTACGTCCTCCAGCGTGCGCGTTCCTCCTGGGCTGCTGATGGAAACACTGCCTCCAATGGAGGGCTGGCGGCGGTCGAGGGACGTCGTCAGGGTAGGTGTCTGCATTTGAGAGGAAGCTGAGGGTGCATGTTTTCTGGCTGTGAACACGCAAAGGTGTAAACAGGGGGAGTTTGTTTGCCGGCGCTCGGACCGCGGTGAGCGGCGTGTTCTACCATCCATCGCTTTTTCTGTGTCATAGTTTCAAACTCAAGGCCCTAGTGGGCACACCTGGACCCGGACGGATACTATACTAAGGAATATCAAAACCATACGCGTTTGTCTACACAACAACCTCTAAGTACTAGTTTTACTGGCTGCACGAAGGAGAACACATCTACTGCACAATGAGGCCCATTTTAAGAGCGCTAGGAGGAGATCAATATATGAGAATAGCACGTGTTAATAGCAGTGGCTACTTACGAGCGAACAATGTAAAGAACGAGGGAAATGTGGGAGAGATCTATGCAATCGATCCAATCGCCTGATTCTTCATTCTTTTGCTCCACGCGCGCAATAACACTGCCGACCATGTTGGGCACTGATGAGTTGTTGACAATTCGATTGTTAGTGGCGGGAACGATATCAAAGGCAGCGGGGTCGACGGGGTAGACGATGGTGACACGAAATGGCAAACGGCAATATGGGTGGCCGGGCAGACCATCGGTAGTCATTTCGACAAAGGCTCCTTCGAGGAACATGTCGTATAACGGTTGGTTGTCCTTGTTTATAGGAACGTCGAGGAAGTGGTCGTAATGACAGTTTTGCCCAAAGATAAAAACGCGGCATGTTTTCCGCTGACCACGCCAGTCGAGATATGTTTGTAAAGAAAGATATTGCAGATAAATATGAAGCTCACGGAGCGGGAGATGGCAGACACTTGCAGGCGATTCATCAAACTATCGTCAATGACTAGAGATGTATTCATGCAAAGGAGAATAACGAATGAGCTGGTGACAAAGGATCGACGCGAGTATAGCTAGGAAGTCTATAAAAGCGCAGACTCACCGGGCAGTTATGTTGAAGCCCAGTAAGAAGTGGTCTTGCTCAAAACGAGCAAGATCTAGTGGAAATCTACTTGTATCTAGCTGGATTCAGTCAAATACCGGGAAATATAGTCAAACCTAGTTTTTCTCGGGATACTAAATAAAACTAGATCAAACTAGAAAATGGTACAATTCTAGATAAAACTATTAGGGTGGTAGCTTGCCCGACGAGCGAAGCGAGGAGGGTAAGCGTAAAGAGAAGAGGAGTTGAAACTTGGTCAACAGGCTGAGGTATTTCCTCAGCAACCTGTTTCGTATATATACTCTTCAGGACCAAAATAGTTTCGAAGGTGGAGTACCACTGAATGCTGTAGAGAGGCGGGAGACGCCTCTACGGGTGCATCCAAATGACATCATTGTACAGGAATAGACGGTTGGTAAGCGTTTCAGCTAAACTTAGCATCTTGATGACTGATGGATATGCCGAAGCCGATGCGATCGCATCGGTATTACCTTAAATGATATAATGACGTCACAGGTGACATCATAACCTAATAATAGGTGTTTCATGTAAAAATACCTGAAACTTCTCACGCCCTAAGAATAGTCAGTACCACGTGACTAATAGGCGCTCGGGATTAGCCGGGCGTCTATCTCCTAACAGTATTTCGCCTATCACTTTGCCCCAAAGTGATACCACGCACCACGCACTCCATACCACGCACCACGCACTCCATACCACGCACCACGCACTCCATACCACGCACCACGCACTCCATACCACGCACCATGCACCCTGTACCACGCACATTGTACCAGGCACCACGCACTCTATACCATGTACCACGCACCCTATACCATGCACCACACGTTTTGTACCACCACACACTCCATCTTACTGCCCAAAAGGTGGCCCCTTAGGGTTAGGGTGGTAGCTTGCCACGACGAGCGAAGCGAGGAGGGGTAAGCGTAAGGAAGAGAAGTTGAAACTTGGTCAACAGGCTGAGGTATTTCCTCAGCAACCTGTTTCGTATATATACTCTTCAGGACCAATTAAGTTTCGAGGTGGAGTACCATCGGATGTCTGTAGAGAGGCGGGAGACGCCTCTACGGGTGCATCCAAATGACATCATTGTATAGGAATAGATGTTAGTAAGCGTTTCAGCTATACTTAGCATGCTTGATGACTGATGTGAATGCCGAAGCCGATGCGATCGCATCGGGATTACCTTAAATGATATAATTGTCCCACAGTGGGAAAATAACCTAAAAATAGGTGTTTCATGTAAAAATACCTGAAACTTCTCACGCCCTATGAATAGTCAGTTCCACGTGACTAATAAGCGCTCGGGATTAGCCGGGCGTCTATCTCCTACGTTCTAGAATGTTCCCCGTTTAAGGTTCACGTGCT